CGCAGGCTAAGCTCTCCCTGTTCCTCTGACAGAAGGGCATTCTCCCCTCTGCCCTTAGCTTTCCCCCATTGTCCCCCACCCCCCAAAACCCTGCGGTAAGTAGATTTGTTGCAGTGGCTCCGGATAGTTGCGTGTACAGTCCAGGTGTTTAAAGAGGGGAGAGGGTGTGTTTCCACGATGCAGAGAGAAAACTGAGTCTTTGGGTACTTAGCTCCTTCACGGTTAAACTGATGGTCACCTTCTTTGTGTGGCCTTAATTCTGAAAATTAATCAGCATTTATAAGAATATCTAAAGTAAGGTGGTTTTGTTTTGTTTTCTTCTGTATAATTTAGCCAACCACTGAGGGAAGAAACGGTGGCTTTAAATTTCTTATTTCTCTTTGAGAGAATCAGCAAACAAGTCTATTTCTTAGGATCTGTGTTTCTTAGAAATATTGTTTCCAATAAATTCCACTTCGGTTTTAAAGTCACCTGTGGTGTGACTTTCACGAAAAGGTTGAGGGTAGTGTTTGAACCTGCTTATTAGCATACCCATCTTCCTTTTGGCCTCAGTAAATCTTCATATAAGACACCATGTGTTGCTTTCTGACCCTCGTTTCCTGTTGGCTGAGTGCATTTCTAATCAGGCCCGTTTTGTTTTCAGGTTTGTTTAGAGAAGAAAACCCATATGCCAGATTCGAGAACAACTGAGATGCACTTCGTGGCACGGCGAGCAGTCTCCACGCCTTTCCTCGGGCTGTGGGTCAGCAGGGACCCACTGCCCTGTCCGCCTCTGACCCTGGGGAGGGAAGCTGCCCTCCAGGCCCAGGCCTGGGAGCTTCTGTTCCCTTTTCTCTGATTTCTGTATTTAGTCACTTGAGACATTAAGACTGTCAGGGCTTTTCTGTTGTTCATTTGGGGAGGAAACTGCACATCCCTGGGCTCTGGTCCGTCTGCGAGCCAGTGCAGACCATCTTGCTCCGTCTGCGAGCCAGTGCAGACTGTCTCCCTGCATCCGGGCCCACGCAGCTCCACGCGCAGGAAGTGGGGCGTCTGCAATCCGTCTTGGGGCCATCCCCAGCCCCTGTCATTTCCCCAGAAAAGCACAGACGACTTGCCATTGACATCAGGGTACAGGACGCAGTTGGACGAGGGTTTGCTTTCTGACCTTGACTATACCGAATAGCACTGAGCGGTAGTTAAACTCACCTTATGTCTTTTTTTCTTTTTTTAAGAATTCTTGGATTTTATTCTCCCATCTAAAAGATTCCACCAGAAAGCTTTACTGTCAAAGTTCAGGCCACTTATGGGATGATTTTTTAGTGTGTCTCTTTACTGGAACATCATGATATTTTTCCAGTAAAAGTTCGAATTATAAAACCTCTCTGAAGGGCAGTAGTCGGTCAGGTGCTGGTGTGTGGATGGCAGGGGGGCGTGTCTAAGAGGCTCCGCCTGCCTTTCCCGCCCCGCTGACCACAGGCCTCAGGCCCCAGGGGCGGAGTCTCCTGAATCAGACCTGCCCTGCCATCTGCAATGGTCACCTAGGGCTCTTGGGTGACCGCAGGTCCGCCCTCGGCAGGCAGGGGCCTGCACTGGCCAGGCTCCACGCGGCCGCTGATGGAATCTCCACGCACGACAGACGCTGGTGGCTGTCCTGCTTGGCCGACAACCTGAGCTCCGGCCTGCTCTTTTGTCTCTGCCGTGTTCTGGGAACTTCCGTGGCCACACTTGGTGGTTCCTTTTCTTCCAGATCAAGACGCATGACTGCGGTAAGTGGTCTGAGCGCTTCCTGGCAGGGACAGCAGACCATGGAGTCACTGTGAACAGCCTTTCTTAAATCTGAAAATAGTCCTAGTTGCCAAATTGCTTTGAATGTGAAAACCATTGAGCTTTGGGGAGGCGGGTGAACAAGCACGTGAAGTGAGTGAGTTCGTGCGGACCCAGTGATCAAAGGACATGTCATCAGACGGTTGCACGAGCCTTGTTAGCTACACAGATCTGTTTGGTTTAACGATTCTACCTTTAAGTTTCACAAACAACCTTTAACAAACTCTTTAGTCGTATTTCTCTGGTTTCCTGGGCATTTGATAGCAGTGAAAGTATTTTGAAACATTCCTAAGTATTTTATAACAGTTTGCAAACTTTTACTTTCTACTGTTCGTTCATAAAAGAAACTTTGTGATAGACTTCAGTGGACTTTGTATTAACACGGTAGTTCGTGTGGATGTAAAATCACTCTCTTGACCTGAGGCTGCCGAGCTGAAAGCAGAGCCGGGTTGTGAGCGAGTCGTTAGGGCAAGGCGTTACAGCGGGCGCCGTCCTCCCACACAGCACGGAGCCCGCCCCGGGAGCGTCACTGTAGTCATGAGCTTCTGAAATGGTACTAAGAGCAGCCAAAAACCGTAACCTCACGGAGACCGTAAGCCTGAGTGCCTTAATCTTTAACCAGTTTCCAATCAGCAGATTAATACACGCTTTTGTTGACGATGCTTTGCGTTCCTTGTGTTTCATTTCTGGGCGGTGTGGACGTGACTGCTTGGGGAGTGAGGACAGCGGGACTGTCTGGGTAAAGATGGGCTTCTGCACCCATCGGTGTGAATGAGCAGCCCCCCTCCCAACACCCCTGCAGCGCTGGGATCAGGTACAGGGAGCCCCAGGGGGAGGAGCGGTACCTTTGAGCTCGGAGTCCCTGGCTCTCCTGTTTGAAGCAAGTGACCAGCAACAGACATCTCCCACCCTAACGCCCAGGGGTTTTTTGAGCCCGAGCCACCCGTCTCCTTGCTGGGCCCTTCTCTGCTCCAAACTGCAATGTTTTGGTTGGCTTGGCGTCGCTGTGCGTTGGGCACAGGAGCTTGCTTTCAGTGACAGGGCGGCTGACGGTGACTGGAAGCGGGCGGCGGGCACTGCTGGCCCCTCTGGCCGCCCCCCGGAGGAGGTGGAACGATCCACGCCCGGGACCGAGCGGCTCAAAGCCCCACCCAAGGACCCGGCTTCTAGGGAAGGGAAACCGTGGTGGGAGCGAGGCTGGGTGGCTGCTTGGGGGAGCCTGCCCCTTTCCCAGGAGGGTCCGGGCGCCCCTACCCAAGGGACGGAGAGGTTGTGCCAGCCCGTGAGGAGCCTGCCTGCTCGGCGACTCTGACCCCGCCGTCCTGGGCTCCAGAGTGTGGTGGCCGAGGGTCTGGCCTCAGAGCCGGGCCAGCTCCCTCCCCTCCCCCTGCTCAGGCTCCCTCAGGCCCTGGTGACCCCGACTCCACGTTCCCGCCCCTCTCCCCTCCCCGAGGGGGGCACCAGGGTCATGTGTCCTGAGCCGGGCCGTTTCCTCCCCCACCCTGGCCCACGCCGATCCTAGCTGAGCGTCTGGGCTGCACCAGGCCCACCTCCTCCAGGGATGTCAGAGTGCGCTGCGGGTGACCGCACCAGAAGGTCGCCCGCCGAGGTCAGCACGGAGGCGCCCTGCTCTCCCAGCCCGCGCAGGCACCCACCGGCTGGCGACCTCGGCCGGCGGGGTCGGGAGAAGAGAGCAAAGCCCGGGTGCCAGGAGCTGCGACCCCAGGGCCCTGGCTGTGACCCCCAGCCGTTCTTCAGGACCCGTGCTCTGTAACAGCCACAGAGGGGGTTCAGTGGGCCGTGGGGTATCTGCTCAGGTCACCATGACAAGCACCGCAGACTCGGGGCTTAAACAACCGACATGTATCGGTCGTCTCACAGTCTGGAGGCTGGGAGTCCGAGGCCCAGGGGTCACAGGGCTGTCCCTCCCGAGGCCTCTCTCCTGGGCATGTGGACAGCCGTCCCCTCCCCATGTCCCCGCGTGCTCGTTCCGTGTGTGTCTGTGTCCTCATCTCTCCTCGTAAGGACCCGGTCAGGTTGGGTTAGGACCCACCCAGCGACCTCATTTTAACTTCATTAACTGATTAAAGTTCCTCTCTCCAGATTCTGCACATTCTGAGGTGCTGGGATTAGGACTCTGGCTTGTAAACCTGGGGGGACACAGTCCAGCTAGTCACAGGCAGGAAGCCTTGCGATCGAGCCTCGGGGCTCCCTGACCTGCAGCACTCCCTCTGGGGATGTGGCGCCTCTGGGCCACCTCCCGCAGCAGGGGGTAGGGCTCCGCGGGCTTCCACGGGGCCTTTCTACGGTGTGGCCTCCGCTCCGGCCCCGAGCACAAGTGGGGAGACTCCATAGGGCGCTAAGTGTGCTTGTCCCTGCTATGCGTTCTGGGCCTTGGGCCCACAGTGAGCTAGACTCGGGGTGAGACCCATTCTCATCCGGCCTCCACAAGCCCACTCTGGCCAGTGGACCTCAGTGGCTGACTGGGCCTCTTCAGAGCTGGTGTGTAGTAACCCCTGAGGCTCAGGGGCTTTCCTTTGCTCCAGGACACAGTGACCCTTGAAAATGGTCATCGGTCCCTCTGAGGAAGCCCTGAGAGCCACTTGCTGGTCTCACCTGTGGCTGAATTGCAGGGTCCTTCCTCACCAGTCCTGGAAGCTGCTGGGAAGAGCCAGGCATCCCCGTTACGGTGACGGGTTGGGGCTTGACCAAAAGACCTAGAATTACCCTACCTGCTAGTTTAGCAGCTGTGCATCGGTTTCGTTCCCAGGGTCCCCGCCATCGGTTCAAAAAATTCTGCTTCCTCTCCTTCCATGATTATTTGCTCTGCGTCTGTTTCTAATGTTAAGCACTGACATCTGGTACCACCACGCCAGGACCCCTCATCCCCAGGGAGAGCGGGTGACCCCGCTCCGTGGCAGCCTACCCGGTCTGCAGAGGGCAGTCACCGGGGGCACTTTGCCCATGCATTTCTCCGTGACTCTGTGCAGGGAGTGTCCTGAGCTCAGCAGGAGGGGAGGTGCGCAGGCTCACGTAATGGGCCCACCGACACCCCCGTTTCTGGGATCCCAGGCCTTTCCTCTGCAGCAGCGGGCCTGCACCTCGGCTGTTCACTGCACTCACCAGTGCCAGGCCACACTCCCAGCCACACTCGTCTCATGGGTCTCATTTCACAGGGTTTTTTTTTTTTTCCCAACATCTCCAAGTGATTCTAATGCCCAGCCAAGGCTGAGCACCACTGCCCTCGAGGCTTGCTCCTTATGATGTGGCCCAAGTTTTAGTAGACTGGCATCACCTGGGAGCTCAGTAGGCCTGCAGAACATCAGTCTCTACCCAGGACCTGCTGAGTCAGAACCTGCGTTTCACCAAGATTCCCTGACGATTTGTCTACAGTGTCCCGTCTGAGCAGCACCGCTGTCCACCAGGGGTTCTCAAGTTTGAGCTGTGTCGGAACCCCCTGGAAGGCTCATAAAACCCACATGGCGGGGCGCCACCCCAGAATTTCCGAGCCAGCGGGTCTGGGAGGGGCCCCAGAGTGTGCACTTGTAACACGCTTCTGGCAGATGTGGATGCTCCTGGTCTAGGGACATCGGGAAGGTTGCTCTAGAATGCCAGGGACACTCGTTACTCTAAGCGGTCGGATATGCCGGTGGTGCACACGTTTCCGTTAGCCAGGCTGGTGACACCATCCCCGCCTCCTGGGGCGGCTCTCACGGAGGTACCTTCAGCCCAGTCAGGCTTGTGCATCATCTCCCTGGTCTGACAGGTGTGAGCTCTGTTTCTACGATGTTCCCAGAGCCTGCCGATATAGCTGGTGAGGACCCACAACCTTCAGGTAGATGTGTGGACCTCTGACCCTTCTTTGGGGCTGGAGGAGGTCAGCGGAGGGGCCCCGCCTGCCTAGGGGAGGGGCCGGTGGGGTCACGTGACTGGGGCCGCCTGAGGGCCAGGCAGGGAGGGAAGAGGGGTAAAATGAAGGATCCCCGACGCTCTCTGGACCACAGGACCCCTTTTCCCGGTCTCTGTGGCCAGAGGGATGGGTTTTCTCCCGCGGTGTGGGGTGCCTGGTCTACGGCCACAGTGCAGCTCCAGGATCGGGGTCTCTTCAGGACAGGATCCGGTGAGTAAAAAGCACAAGACCAGCCAACCAACCAACCAACCAAAACCTGGGTTCACTCACATGCTTTGGCTTGCAGGGTCTCCTTTCCTCCGGCCAGAGAGAGAGGCCTTCTCTTGGAGGTTTTGACACCTGCACTGGTATGTAATCCCACACTGGGGTCGACCTCTGGTCGAAGCTGGCCGATGAAAGAGGAGGAACACTCGGAAAGTCACCCCATCAGGTCTTTAAGTTTTGGGTCTGCTCTCTAAGCTGCCCGCTATGACTGAGCTTTCAGAGTCCTCGGAGGGTTGTGCCCTGTCCACACCACAAGTCTCTCCTTGGCTTCTGAAGGCTGGTTTGCTGAGTATAGAGACCCGAGCTTCATGTGTGTAGAGGCATCACGTCTTTGTCCTCATCGTCTTCAGCTCGCATCGTTTCTGCACCAGGTGTGCAGTGATTCTGATCCTTGTTCCTGCGCGTGTAACGTGTCTTTTTTCCCCTCTCTCTGCCTTCAAGGTGTTTTCCTTATCTTTGGTTTTCATCTCTTGAATATGATGTGTCTTGTTGTGCCTTTTGTATATTTATTATATATATTATTAAATGTATATCTTTAAATCCTCCTGAATTAGGATCTGTGCTGTGGTGTCTTTATTTTTAGAAAATTTGTAGCCATTATTGTTTCCAACATTTCTCCTGCCCACTCTCTCCTCCCCTCCTGTGACTCCAATTATACATGTGTTAGACCACTGGAAATTATTCCAGGGCTTCCATTTGCTCTGCTCTGTTGGCGGGTTGGGGTCCACCTTTCCTCTTTGTTTAGTCTGGGTAATTTCCACGGTCTTATCTTGAAGCTCATGATTCTCTCCTCATCTGTGCTGAGTCTACTCGTGAGCCTGTTGAAGGCATTCTTCATCTCTGTTACCCCGTTTTTACTTCCGGCATTTCCACTGGCCTCTTCCTCAGAGTCTCCGTCTCTGTGCTGAGAGTCTCCCTGCCCTTTTCTTCATGTAATCTTCCCCACTAGAGCCTTAACATAAATCCTGTCAGACAATCCTAGCATTTGAGTCACATCTGAGTTGGGTTCTGTTGATTTTCATGTCTTGATTGTGGGGGTTTGTCCTTCTTTTTTGTGTCTTGTAATTACTTACTGAAAGCCAGATATTGTCTTTAGGGCAGTAGAGACTGAGGTTAGCAGTATTTATAACTGGAAATGGACATTCCTCCTCCTCTTCTGTTTGGCTGCCGTTGCAGGGGTCAGGCAGGCTAGGGGCTGACTGGCTCCGGGTTTTGTGGTTGCCCTGGTTACCTTGAGTGTCCACTGACCTCAAATTCCTCTGGCATCGCCTCGTGCTGAGGGTGGAGGATGGTTTGCTGGAAGGTTTTTCTCCACCTTGAATGCCAGGCCTCCCCTGCGCACCTCGGGAAGAGGCTCTCTCCAGGCTCTGGCCCCTCACTCCCCTCACTGTGATGGACCACTCCAGCTTGTTTGTTGGTGCTGGCTGTCCTGGAACGGGGCATGGCTGGTAGGGCTTGCTGTTGCCCTGGTCCAGGTCCACACTGATGCAGGCCTCATGTCCTTGGATCTTGAGGTGGGACTTATTCAGTGATCCTGTTTCCTCTCCAGAGACGGAAGACCTCCAAGGGGCTGGGCCCAGGATATAGTGTGACAATAAGGACAGTGAAATGATACGTGTAAAGGCTTTAAGCTCAGATTTCTTTCTTTTTTTTTCTTTTTCGAATTTTTAATTTATTTTTGGCTGGGTTGGGTCTTCGTTGCTGCACGCGGGCTTCTCATTGCGGTGGCTTCTCTTGTTGCAGAGCACAGGCTCTGGGCAGGCGGGCTTCAGTAGTTGCAGCATGTGGGCTCAGTAGCTCTGAGGCATGTGGGATCTTCCCAGACCAGGGATCAAACCCATGTCCCCTGCATTGGCAGGCAGATTCTTAACCTCTGCGCCACCATGGAAGTCCCTAAGCTCAGATTTCTATACTCAGAAAACCTTCAAAAATGGAGAGAGTTCTGGTGTGGACAAGACAAAGTAAGCAATTGGCTGAGACTCTGAAAGCTTGATAATAGCAGGCAGATTAGGGAGAGGACCCAAAACTTAAAGACAAGGAAGCCGAAATCCCAGCTTTCTGATAGGTTTAGGAAAAGTTATGCTTTTGAGGTTGTCCAGCTTTTCTTGTTTTTAGACGGCGGTAATAAGCATTCCAGCTTTCTACATCCTAGGCAGAACTCGCCCTCTGTATGATTTTGCTTCTTACAATTTAATGAGGTTTTCTTAAAGACCTAATATGTGCTCAAACTTTGTAAATATTCCACAGGTGATTAAAAATATAACATAAATTTTTCATTGGTTTCCAAATCGTTGTCTCTCTGTGCATTATCGTGAGCTTACTGATTATGTTATTCAGATCATCTATATGCTTACTTAGTCTTTGTCGTTGTGACACTTTTCAGAAAGAAGAGGGAACCTCACCCAAAATTTGGTCCAGTTGTCAAGACTGGTGACAACACACACACACACACACACACACACACACACCACACACACACACACCAAGAAGGTATGGAAATGTTCCTCCTTCACATAAGGAGGCTTTCTAGGGAGAGCAGCGCAGGCCTCCCAAGCTGGCCTGAAAATGGCTTGAGAGCCAGGAAAGGAGATGCACTTGGGGCTTCTATTGTGCTAGGGCGGGGCCATGGTGAGGGTTTCTGCATGGGCAGGTGCTTGAGTGGTTTGAATTTCCCACCGGTACCAAAGGAGGCAGCGCCCAGTCTTTATCTGCGTGCTAAGATGTGGGGAAGAAAGAAAAGAGGCAGGGATGAGGCTTTAAAGATGTCAGCTGTTAAACATCAAAAAAACAGAGTGAGACCCTATTTGCATTTTTCTACCTGCTTCTTGGTGGCAGGGACCCATTACTAATGTAATATATCTTTCATTGTCCATTTAATGCTTTGCAGTTTGAAATGTATTTCATCTGATATGAAAACTGTTATAAGCTATAGCATTTTTGCCTTTTATTTTTACCCTTTCTCTACTCTATAGTAGAAGAAAACATGGTTGTATTTTTTTGACCCACGTAGGGAGCCACTGTCCTTAAATAGAACAATTTAATCCATACATATCTAGTATGATTGCTGGTCTTTACTTATTCTTTTTTTTTTTTAAAGGCAAAGACTTTTTTAAAAAATTTATTTATTTTTATTTTTTTTGGCTGCGTTGGGTCTTCGTTGCTGCGCGTGGGCTTTCGCTAGTTGCGGCGAGCGGGGGCTGCTCTTTGTTGTGGTGCGCAGCCTTCTCATTGTGGTGGCTTCTCTTGTTGCGGAGCAAGGGCTCTAGGCTCGCAGGCTTCAGTAGTTGTGTCACGCGGGCTCAGTAGTTGTGGCTCACAGGCTCTAGAGCACAGGCTCAGTAGTTGCGGTGCGTGGGCTTAGTTGCTCCGCGGCATGTGGGATCTTCCCAGACCAGGGCTCGAACCCGTGTCCCCTGCATTGGCACGCAGATTCTTAGCCACTGCGCCACCAGGGAAGCCCTACTTATTCTTACTATCTTATTTGTTGTATGCTCTATTCTACTTTCTTGTTGTAGAGCTGGTATAATTTCCTTTGCTTGAATCCTTGCTCTGCTGCTTTTAGTAACCAGGTAAACCTGGACATGAAACTTGTGCCTCAGCTTCCATATCTGTGAAATGGTACAATAATGGTACCTACCTCATTCCATTAATGTGTATGAAGGTATGAGAGTGCACGTCACATAAGTGCTACATAAATGTCTCCTGTTATTTCTATTGTTTCCTTTTATCTGTTTTTATGACATTGTCAGATTGGTTGAGTTTTGTTGTTGCATTGTTCTTGCAGTGGTTTGAAAGTTATTTCTCCTATCCTTGGGACAATCCTCTCCCTCTGCTTCTGTTTTCTTCTGACCTACCTTCCAGTTCATAATCTTCTCTTCCACTGTGTCTAATCTGTTGTTAAACCCATCTACTGAATTCATAGTTTCAGTGATTGTATTTGTTTTCAAATTTCCATTTCTTTATAGATTTCACTTATCTGCTGAAAATTTCCATCTCACAGTCTGTTTCCTTGAACATATTAGAGTTATTTAAAAATCTATCTAATAATGCCAATATACTGTTCTCCTGTGGATATATTACTAATATATACCTATTTCTTCCCCTGGTTTTGGATCATTTGTTTTCTGGTTTTCTTTGTGAATTTTTATTCTCTTCTGGATGTTGTCTATGAAGATATTTGAGTTAACCTGAGGCCCCAGGTGGTGTTGCTGTCCTCCAGAGATTTCCTTTGGCTTCAGGCTGGCAATGGGAAGGAGAGCAGGTCAGCTTGGTGCAATTCTGGAGTGAGCCGTTGGGATGCTGGGTTTCAGTCTGTGAGGATTGATCTACACCTCAGCCTCACCCCTTTGTTGTAGGTCTCAGTGTTCCAGCTGAAGGTCCAGATTATTATCAAAGCCCCCCGACCAGTTTATCTTGCAGTAGGTCCTGCCCAATCATTGTCTCCCCCATCCTATGAGACTCAAAAGCTGTGCTCAGTGTCTCAACTTCTTGTGTGTTGCACACATTAGGGACTGCATTGTGTGTCTCCCTCCCTCTCTCTCCCTCTCCCCCTCCCCTGCACACACAGAGGAAAGCCATGCGAGGACATGGGGAGATGGCGGCCATCTACAAGCCAAGGAGAGAGGCCTCAGGAGATACCCATACCGCCCACACCTTGATCTTGGACTTCAAGCCTCCAGAACTGTGAGAGAATGTTTAAGCTGCCCAGTCTGTGGTATTTTGTTACGGCTGCTGAGCTAAAACGTCATACTAATCGCTAAATATCTCAAAAGGAAAACCACGTCCCTTCTTTCTGGGATCTTCTCTCCTCAAGAAAGTCTTCTCTGTTTTGGCAGTTATCGGGTGTCTTCAGATTTTCACAGTATTTTATACAGATTTTCTTGTTCAAAACCAGAATAGTTTTATAATTTGCTTTAAAAAAAACACACATAATGTGTGAGCATCTTTTACTGTTGTCAACTACTCTTTCTTTTTACACATTTAATAGGGGCTTAGCCTTTCATTATATGAATCAACCATAGTTTAATTCCTTCTTGTAACACATTTAGATACTGTATTTCATCAATTCCAATTGGGGTGTCCTGCATCCATAACCTGTCATAGTTTAATGTGTGTGTTAAATAAAACAATGTTTTATAATTGCTGACGTCTTAGAGTCGATGATGGATGATGGGTCCAAGCTCTGCCTACCTGAAGTTACACCACAGCCAATAATCCTGGGGTGGGGGTGGGGTCTGGCTCCCATTGTCCACCTGTGTCCTGGAAGGGGCCAGTTCCTGGGAACTCACCTCTCCAGGAAGCACAGTTCGAGCTGGCCACTGTGCCTGGGGATCCCCTGGTAGAGGCAACACAGTCCAGGGTGAAAGGGACCAAACCCTTGGACCCGGCTGAGATGGAGGTCGGCTCTGACCAGAACTTTCAATGGACAGACTTCGTCAGCCTGTGACATGGCAGCTCCATTCTGGGGGGCCCCATTCCCCTCTCCTAAATGGTGCCTCTAGCCCAGGAAGTGAATTCTGAAGAGTCAAAATTGGTTTGTGAAATTAAGGCCCGTGAAAACTTGCCTCTGTGGCCTTTCGGTGTTAAAAGGAAATGAGCTGAACCCAGTGGGCTAGGTCGCTGTCTCCCCCAGATGCTCAGTTTCCAGTGGCTGGGCTCAGAAGGCCCCAAAGGGGGCTGGGCAAGGGGAGACAAAGGAGCCGCAGACAGCCTGGCTAAGCGCAGAGTGAGAAGTGGACGGAGTGGGAGACTTTCCACCTCCCTGACCCCCTCCTAGAAAAGCCCCGTTTAGGCCTCCGTCCACTGGGAGCTCTGGGCGGAAGCAGCTGGAGCTTGCGCGGCCTCGCTGAATGAACACGCGCCGTGTGTCCTTTGTGGACGGAGCTGCCCGGTGGGTCAGCCTGGTACGCCTTCCTTCACCCCCACTTCCTCAGGACCTGACGCTCGGCCCCTCTGTGAAGGTGAACCGAGCCTTTCCTAGCCCGGGGGTCGTCCCCGGGGCAGCTCTCTCTCACGCACGTCCGCCGGGGCCACTGGAGATAGTTCACTTGGCGGCTGGCTTTATTTTCCTTGTTTCCCTGTGAGATGCACTCATCACGCAAGAAGCCAGTGGCTACACCCGGTCTCAGCCGGTGGAGCTGCGGTAGGCGAGGGGCCAGTTCGGGGCACGGGCGGGCCATTCTCAGGCGCCAAGATAATGTGCCAGGCCTGCCGCCGACCCCGCACCTGTAGGGCTGATGACCTGGCTCTCCGTGCACCCTTGGGGTCCCAGCGCGCCCAACCCACAGAGCTCCCCCCTTCCCCCACGACCCTAGCTGCCCTGTGTTCCCGCGGCTCCCAGCGCGCCCCCCGAAGGACGGACGCCGGACTGCGCGGGCCCCGCCGGCTGACGCATTTGAAACTGCCAGGAACCTCGGCCGGCCGGGCACGCGCCCAACGCCCGGGAGCGCGCCTCGTGCACGCGCGCCCCACCGCGTGACCCGCGCCGGCCAACCTGCGCGCGGGGATTTGGGGGCAAAGCGCGGCCCCGCGAGCAGCTGCGGCGGGAGAGCGGCGGGCCGAGAGCGTGAGTCACCCGCT